TACAACTTTGGACCAAATTTCATAGAAATAATTAAACTTCTATATTTAAACAACGATAACTTCTCCCGAATAATAGTAAACGGGCATTTGGGGGATAAAATATACCTGAATTGCGGAATCCGACAAGGAGACCCGACTTCAGGCTACCTTTTCAACCTCGCAGTGAACCTGCTTACGCAACAAATCAAGAAATCAAGAAAAGTAACTGGCATCAAAATTTCAGACAGTGCGGAAGTAAGAATTTCTCAATATGCCGACGATACCATCTTATTCCTAAAGAATGAAACAGAATGCGTTAAAGGAGCTATACAAGAATTGCAAAGATTCTCAGAAGCATCAGGACTTAACTTAAACATTGACAAAACATGTTGTCTGCGGATTGGCTGCGCAAGGCAGTTCAACAACGTTGGTTGCAGCCAAATCAAGTTTGTTGACCAATTGAAAATATTAGGAATAACGTTCAATGAGAATAACAAAAACATTACTCAGGTCAATTTCGAACCGAAAATCACTCAGATTCAAACAGAAATTCAACATTGGCGTAGAAGAAACATTACAACGTTAGGGCGAATAACAGTCGTCAAGTCCCTGTTGATGTCAAAATTAGTTCATCTATTTATGGCCCTACCTGACCCCTCTAGAAAAGAATTTAAAAGTCTTGAGAGAATCTTATTCGAATTTGTTTGGGGTGGTAAACGAGATCCAATAAAACGCGCGAAACTTATACAAAACTTTACCGCAGGTGGTCTTCGCATGATAGATGTCCAATCCTTCTGCGCCAGCATGAAGCTGACATGGCTCAAAAGAATAATGGCATCAAACGCATCATGGTCACGTATAGTCGAAATTGAACTACCACCAATTGAAAACGTGCTTCAATTTGGCAGTAAACAACTAGAGAAATTGATGAAGAAGGTTGAAAACAAGTTTTGGAGCGACGTACTAAAAAGTTTTGCAAACTTTAGCAGAGTATACGTACCTGATGAGGCTAACGTACTTTTCGAAAGCATATGGTTTTCAGATTACACGAAATTCAAATGTTCAATAATACGTAGCTGGTACAAAAAAGGAATTCGGCGCATAAATGCATTTGACGAGCGACACCTACGGGGTCGTGCGGCAAAAACTTTCTCTGTCCGCGGGCGCCACTGCAGCGACACCTGCCGTGTGGCTCCAACACTATTGGCTCAGTCTGTGCGCCCACGCCGTGCCGCGAACACCGATCCTACACATTGTTCAGCGTTCCGATTGTAGTTGGACCACATCTGGTGAGTTCTCCCCACGTGGTGGGTGCATTACGCCGAGATGGCCTGGCTGGGCCGTGGTGTCGTATGTTTATGTTCGCCCAGTGGGCTCGCGGCACTGGCAGCCGGCTCTCAGTTAGGAACTGCCAGACCAAAGTACCAGTCGCTGGCTGTTTTATATTTTTTTTCTATCATTGCCTCTAGGGCCCTTGCCGCAGGTTCCTGCACCACCGACAACTGTGGTGTCCCCTACGGCCGCAGGGGCGCGCCGCGGCCCGCGATCGCGTCGTCGGCCATAGCGCGTTTGCGCCGGCGACCGTATACGCAGTTACGCTCGTGCCGCAATTCAGGGAGTTACGTCTTATGCTGCCACCAGACTGCTAGCCTCGTATCTTGTTGTATTCATCGCCCTGTCCACGCGCATGACCTAATGTCTCTGTGCACCCAAGGCCAAGCCACCCTGACGCCATCTTGGCGGGTCCGAGCAGCAATCGTGTGACCTCTACCCAGCGATCGCGTGATCGTGACGTCAGCGGTAGGTGTGGACACCTCCAGCGCTGGTGGCGCCGCGGCGGCAGCGACAGCAACTGCTGGTAGCCACGTGGCCGCCAGCGGCGCAGGCGCGGGCGTGTCATTACGTAACCGTCATCCGCGCCGTGAGGCGGCCCGGGTGATTCACCCGCCGTGTCGTCAGCTGACCGTGACCGTGGCCTAGCGGCCTTTGGCCCGGCGACCGGACCGCAGGTCCGCAGCTGATTGGGGGTCGTCTTGCACCGGGTCTGCAGCGGGCCATCTGGGCTGGAGTCAGGTCACTGCTGGCTGTATGCCACTCTGTGGGAAGCAGCGTTAGTCGGTCACAATTTGGCCAGACGGTACGCAATCGTGTATGCCTGAGAGGCAGCGTTAGTCGGTCACAGATTGGCCTGACGTGTACGCAACCGTATATGCCTGGGAGGCAGCGTTAGTCGGTCACAGATTGGCCTGACGTGTACGCAACGGTGTATGGGCTGGAGTCAGCTCACTGCTGGCCGTATGCCACTCTGTGGGACGCAGCGTTAGTCGGTCACAATTTGGCCAGACGTGTACGCAATCGTGGATGCCTGAGAGGCAGCGTTAGTCGGTCACAGATTGGCCTGACGTGTACGCAACCGTATATGCCTGAGAGGCAGCGTTAGTCGGTCACAGATTGGCCTGACGTGTACGCAACGGTGTATGCCTGAGCTGCAGCGCTAGTCGGTCACAGATTGGCTGGACGTATACGCAACCGTGTATGCTATATCGGTTTCGTCCGCGTCCCACTCTGGGAGCGTCCAGGGCTTACGTAATTTTGTTTTTCTCATTGCAGGCATGCTCGTCGTAGGGGACAGCTATGCTGTCCACCTCCCCCGCCGCTGTTCGCCCCACCTTGCCGTGGCGGCGGCCGGTGTTCGCGGAGGCTGCGTCAATGACGACGGCTTCAGGCGCTGGGCCATCCGGGCCGCAGTTCGTGCCCGTCCTCGCGTGGTCACGCTCGTGGCGGGCGGAAATGACCTCGCCAGAAGGGACTGCCGCGTTCAGCGGTGGCTCGCCAACCTCCAGGAACTGACGCTCGGGCTCCTGGCAGCCGGAGTCGTTCGCGTCTATGTGCTGCCCATCCCTCCGCGCACAGGCTTTCCATCCAGCGGCGTGTCGGCGCGAATTTTCCGGCGGCGGCGCTGGGTGGCCAACAAACTGTTGCGCCGCCTTTTCCGCCAACCGCCGGTGCTCCTGCTCCACTTTGTGCCGCCACCTGACTTTCTGGCGTCGGATGGGGTTCATCCGTCCGCGGCCGGGTGGCGCACCCTGGAGAGCGTGCTACAGGAGGCTATGGACGCCTCCTCCGGGATTTAGCGTGTACCGGGTCGCTCCCGTGCTGTGTCGTGTGTGTCCCCCCCCCCTCCTAACCGGCTGGCCGTTTAAATACACATTCCCGCTAACATCGTCGTCTATTTTCATGCGTTCGGAGCTGCTATGCCACGGGCCAAGTCGTCGGCGGGCCGTGCCCCGGCACGCCCCCTGCCAGCGCCACGGACGGACGCGCCGCGACGCGCCACTACGAGACGCTCCGCGGCGGCGCGGCCGCGGCCGCGTCTGGCGCTGGTGCCACGAGCCGCCGCACGCCCGCTGCTGCGGCGAGGCGACAGGCCGCAGTGATGGCCACCACTCCGCCCAATCCAGGGCGGGGCCATGCTGCTACAACGTCGGCCGCCGCCGCCTCGCCCCCTGACGCCGCGGTCATCGACCCCGCCGCTCTTCAAACAATGGTGGGCGACATGGTCCGGGCCGCCGTCGCCGCCGCTCTACCTGCCAGCGAGCCATCACCGCCGGCGACGGTCGCCGTGCAGCGCGGTCCGGCACAGCGTCTCCAGGATGGGCCAGCTGCCCATCTGACGTCCGCCGACCACGCCTACACGCCGGCTGCCGAACTGCAAGCCGGGCCAATGGCGCTCCCGGCGGTTCTCTCCGGCGCCCCTCCGACCGCCGCCGGCCCTGCTCCACCTGCGCACCTGCCAGCGGCGCAGTTGCCCGTCGCCGGCCGTCCGCCGGCACCGGTGGAAAATGCCGCAGGTGACGACCTAGCGGCCCGCGCTGCCGTATCCCCCGCGGTGGCGGCCCTCATCGTGTCCCATCAATTCATTGACCTAAACACTCTCCTCAACGACTCTATCCCCCCGGCAGAACCAGGGCTGTTTTGCCTTATCGACGGCCGTCTCCGTCCCTCGGTACAGCGCCGCCCAATCCCGCATTTCGGCGCCTGGGCCACCGCGTTTCTTCGATACGCGGCCGTGTACTTGGCTGCCCACCCCGCTGACGCCTCCGGTCTGTTGCGCCACATGCAACAAGTGTCCTCGCTGCAGGCGCCCGGCCTTGGATTCGCGTGGCGCGATTTCGATGAGGCCTTTCGGCGCGCACGGGGCCTCTGCCCGGAAGCTCACCCATGGGGCTCCACGGCGGCCACGTCTCCCATTTGGCTCACCGCAATCGCTCGCGGAATCGCCGGTTCTCGGGCCGGGTCTGCAGCCGGTGTAAGCGGCGAGGGTCGGGGCGGCTCTAGCCGGCCGGCCGCCGCGTCTGGCTCTTTTCGCGCGCTCTGCCTCGGCTACAATCGCGCCGCCGGGTGCCGCCGGTCCCCGTGCCTGTTCCGGCACGAGTGCCGCCTCTGCCGTGGCCCCCATAGCGTGCTCGCCTGCCCTCGCCGCGCCGCCCCGGCCCTCCCCGGCACCCGCCGCCCCGGCCGCGAATGACTCCCTCACTCCGCCGGTATCAGTCCCGCCCGACCACCTCGCGCTGCTCCTGACAGGTTACGACCCCGCCCTGGCCGCGCAGCTAGTGCACGGTTTTCGCTACGGCTTCCCGCTCGGCAGCGCCGAGGTCCCCTCTGGTGACTCGGGCGGCAACCTTCCATCCTGCTCTCTGGCGCCGGAAGTCGTGGACGCATATGTCGCGGCTGAGACGCGCGCGGGTCGGATAGCCGGTCCTTTCTGTCCCGCGCCGCCATGGATCGTCCGTTTTTCTCCCATTGGTCTAATCCCCAAAAAGTCTCCGGGCTCGTTTCGGGTCATTCACCACCTGTCATTTCCCACCGGCGCTTCCGTCAACGATTTCATTCCCCGGGAGCGCACATATGTTCAATACGGGTCGGTGGACGAGGCTCTTCGCCTGATTGGGTCCTTCCAACGCCCCTACCTCGCCAAAACCGATATTGAGAGTGCATTCCGCATCGTGCCCGGACGCCGCCATGCTCGGTTTCCATTGGCGGGACTGCGCATACGTGGACCTTTGCCTTCCTATGGGCTGTGCCAGCTCTTCCCAAATCTTCCAGTCCGTCAGTGATGCGCTCGTCTGGATCGCGCAGAACAAATTCGGGGCGGGTCCCATTGTTTCTGTTTTGGACGACTTCCTCTTCATCGGCGAGTCGCGCGCAGCGTGTCAGCGCTCGCTCGGCGGCTTTCAGGCCATGTGCCGTGACTTGGCGATCCCGCTGCGTCGCGACAAGACCGTGGCGCCGTGCCGGTCCCTCACCTTCCTCGGGGTGGTATTGGACCTTGAGCGCGGCGAGCTGCGGCTGCCAGCTGACAAGCTGGCACGTGCCAGGGCAGGCCTCACGAGCCTGCTGGCCCGCCGGAAAGCGCCCCTCCGCATGGTCCGTGAATGCACGGGGCTCCTCAGCTTTGCGTGCACCGCAGTGCCACTCGGTCGCCCGTTCCTACGGCGCATGTTCGACTTGTGTCGCGGCGTGTCGCGCCCTCACCACCGCGTCACGATCACCCGGGCGGCCAGACAGGATATGCGCGCCTGGCTGCTGTTTCTAGACCGTTTCCCAGGCCGCGCGATTCTCGCTCACCGGCGCTGGTTGTTGGAGCCGGGTCTTATCCTGGAGACGGAAGCCTCCAGCTCGGTCGGGCTCGGTGCCATCTGCGGCGAGGACTGGCTCCTGGGGCCGTGGCCCGCGTCCCTCCGCGAGGCCCCTATCAGCGTTTTGGAACTAGTGGCTGTCGCTGTAGCCGTGCACGTGTGGCGAGATCGGTTCGCGCATCGCTGCGTCCTTGTGCGCTCAGATAACTCCGCTGTGGTGGCCTGTATAACCTCTCAGTCATCTCGCTCGCCTGCCCTAATGCCATGGCTCCGATTCCTTTTTCTCACCACCGTCTCTCATAACATTCTCGTGCGTGCCGTGCACACACCCGGCATCGCCAATGCAGCAGCTGACGCCCTGTCCCGCGGTCTTGTGCAGGTCTTCAAGGAGCTCCGCCCGTCCGCAGCAGCCACGCCGACGTCCTGGGACTGGCCGGCCTGCGGCACGCTCTCACCGTTCACCAGCTAGCTGGTGCCGCGCTAGCTCCTGCCACCATTCGCTCTTATCGAGCAGTGTGGGACCAAATCCGCGTTTTCCTCACTCTGCCGCCCACTGCTGCCCTGTTTCCCATCTCAGTGGCCGACACTGCTGATTTCCTGGCCTCTCGACACGAGCAGGGCTGTTCCGCTTCCACCCTCGCCGCCGAGGCGTCTGCCATCTCCTACGGCCACAAGCTAGCCGGCGCGCCGGATCCCACGGCGGACTTCCGGGTGCGACAGCTGTTAGCGGGATCCCGCCGGCTACGGCCGAGTGCGGACAACCGCCTCGCCGTCTCCCTGACCGAGCTCGGCGAGCTCTGCGCCGCACTCCATTTCCTAGGCCTCTCCCCGGTAGACCGTGCTGCATTCCGTGCCATCTTTACATTGGCTTTCTTTGCTATGCTTCGCCCGGGCGAGGTCGTGCGCGGCCGAGACCTGACCCACACAGTCCGACTCAGCCACGTGAGTCTCGTCGGCCCCCAGCTTTCTCTCACCATTCCATCCTCAAAAACGTCGGCCTCCCCGTTCACCACCACGCTTCGAGCCCGGCCTGATCTTGCCACGTGTCCGGTCGCCGCTGTCCGCGACTACCTCGCGGTCCGCGGCACGGGCCTTCCTGATGACGCACTGTTTATCGGCGGCCATCGCCGCCCTCTGACATCGCGCGATCTCACTCGCGTACTTCGCATGGCGGGCCGTCGAGCTGGTCTCAACCCAGCCCGCCTCTCCGGGCACTGCCTTCGCATCAGCGGCGCCTCCCACGGCGCCGCAGTCGGACTAACGGAGCCTCAACTCTGCCACGCCGGCCGCTGGTCGTCCCAGGCCGTGCGGCGATACGTACGGCGGCCGGTCTCCCTCCTTCAGGCATCCTAAGCGGCGGGTCCCGTCCAAAGAGGGTCAACGTTGCCGGCCTTCCACCGCTACCGCTCCCAAACCCGAGCCACAGCTGCCCGTTCTAGGTCTGGGTGCACGGGCCGCGCCCTAGCAGGCGTAGCGGCAGTCCCGACGCTGCCTGTTCAGGCCCGGGCTCCCAAACCGCCGCCCTCGCAGGCGGAGCGGCGGCGTCCTTGGCCACCTGCCTGTTTTCGGTCCGGGATCCCGGACCGCCGCCTTCACGGGCGAGCGGCAGTCTTGTCAGCTGCCTGTTTTAGGTCCGGGCCCCCGGACCCCCGCCTCACGGGCGGAGCGGTAGTCTGTCAGCTGCCTGTTTCAGGTCCGGGCTCTGGGACCGCCGCCCTCGCCGGCGGAGCGGCAGTCCCAACTCCCGACGGCTGCGCGCCACAGTGATGTATCTGTATATATGTAACGTCGGGCTCGCGTGTTCATTGTTGGTTTAGCTCGCCCGCACAGCCATAACCCAGATGCAACTGCAGTTTCTACGCCACAGCCGCACCGCCGACGGTGCCATGTTTGTGCGTCGCGTGAGGTGAATTACGCCGTGCGCGGCATGTCATGTCCTCTGCCGTCGCGTTATCGCCACGTCTGTTAATCCAGAGGCATCCATCGTTTTCCATTAGCTTTCTGCCGCCCTGGCAATTTTGTTCATAGCGAATGCCTCTCCGTTCCGCGCGGGTGCAGATGGGGTGTTGGGCGTAATCTGCACCCAAAGTGCATGACGGGTGTACAAACGTACGAATACACAGACCCATATTCATCAGTCATGCATTTGCAAGCGCAGCGGAACGGAGAAATGCATTTGACGAGCGACACCTACGGGGTCGTGCGGCAAAAACTTTCTCTGTCCGCGGGCGCCACTGCAGCGACACCTGCCGTGTGGCTCCAACACTATTGGCTCAGTCTGTGCGCCCACGCCGTGCCGCGAACACCGATCCTACACATTGTTCAGCGTTCTTGTCTTTCCGATTGTCCACCGCCACCCCGCCGCCGCCTGTGGTACTGTGTTTCCATGCATTGCTGGCTGTGTAAGCGTAATCTGCACCCAAAGTGCATGACGGGTGTACAAACGTACGAATACACAGACCCATATTCATCAGTCATGCATTTGCAAGCGCAGCGGAACGGAGAAATGATTTGTTTAACGAAAATACAGGGACCTTACATACCAAAGAGAGCCTCGAAAATGCTTACGACGTGAAGATGACATTTTTATGTTATTCGAGCTTAATCAGGAGCTTACCTGATTACATAAAAAACCAACAAATAGATAAAACACTTGGGCCGATAATGCCACATAGAATGTGCGTGGTGTTAAACAATGAAAAATTTTCACGTCAAGCGTACGAAGCAAATGTAAAACATAAGCAGTTAGAAATACGGAATGCTAATGAACGCCAAAAAGCAAAGTGGATCAGAGATATTGGGGGTTTTGAGGAAAATAGCCTTGCAATCTTAAAAAAGGTCACAAAGTCAGCAAAACTGATAATGTTTCAATATAAACTCATAAATCGCATAGTAGCAACGAATACCTACCTTAAGACTATACACATTAAAGACGAAGATACTTGCACGTTCTGTAAAGTAGAACCGGAAACACTGGTTCATATGTTCTGGCATTGTAATAAAGTAAAGTCCTTTATAGCAGATATCAAACGCAGAATTTTAGATCCGTACGAAATACGCCTCCCTATAAACAGCAAAACTTGGTTCTTCCTAATCGATGCAAATCCACAACAGACACATATATTGGCTTTAGCAAAAATGGTCATATATGAAGCAAGGTTACGAAATATCACACCAGAGGTGACACACCTAATAAACAAACTGAAAATTGTTGTAGAAATAGAACAACAAGCAGCTAATCGCATAAACAAACAAATAGAATTCGAGAAAAAGTGGGGAAGACTAAAAAGCATCGTCGTACAAAACGATGCACATTAACTGCCGTATATTTTTTTTTTTTACACAAATCTTTGTACGTCAATCCATAACACAGTTGCACACTTGCAGCACTCTTGCCTGCAAATGCATGCATTTGCATGCATTTGTGGGCATGTAAATTGTATCTTCATGCAATTTGCATCTCATGTGAGATCAGTTTGCATCATTGCATGATGTAGGCTGATCTGCATGAGGAATAGAAATACGTAAAAACACTTAAAAATACATACATAAAATGCATACAATAAATACATAGTATACAGTATACATAAATATACACATCATATTTATAAAACAAACATGCCACAAACACCCGGATGATCCCCAAGGTCACGAGCTCGCCGGTCGCGGGAAGGGACTAGCGGCTGTTTTGTCTTGCATGTGATGTGTGAAAGGAGCAAAACAAAGTAGAAAATAGTAGAGATTCCAGTCACGCCGCCGCCGCCTCGATCGCCCCGGTGACCGGGCTGGCCGAGTCGCCGCCGGCGCGTCTTCCGCCGGCGTCGCTCGCTGCATCGCCGGTGTCATTGATGGTTGATAGTCATTGATAGCTGTTAAAAGTTGATATAAAAACTGTTCTGTATTGATAAATGTAAACCTCTGGGCTTTGTTAAATAATTTGTATTTTTTGCAGTGTTGTTATCCTTATCTTGTGTTGAACGTTTCACCCGGACCTTGCCTCGCTGTTTTGCTCACTCTGACTTGTTTGGTTGCCTGTTCGCTGTTGGAGCAGTGCCGCAAAGACCGGTCCCGCGGTGGTGCCATGTGTGCCTTGACCTGTGTAGTGCAACCATTGCAGCGGTGCAGTGATAGTGGGACGCCTGTGAGCTGTTGGGGGGAGTTGTCGTTGCGCGTCGTGCCAGCTGAGGCAGCTGATGAAACGACTGATGAGCCACTGGTGGCGCATCATTGGAGTGGATGATGTCGGATGACTGTGAATGTGATGAGATGATCTGAGTGTAATAAATGTATATTATCGGAAAAAAAAAAGAAATGCCAAATGAAGTGAACGTTTCCTTTGTGATTCATGGTCATGCAAAGAGATCATGAAAACATGACGCTAAAACGCCAATAATCACTTGTTTTGTTTTGTTGGGTTAGGCCATGTTAGGCCCTTTCGGTCTGACAAGACCATTGCAGAGCCGGAAGGATGATAGGAATTAGGGGGAGACATTGGTCTGGGCAGGCACCCTAGTGAGTCGCCGGGGCTGAGCCCGTCCAGAGGACAGGCCACCCAGCCCCAAGGCACTCACTGCACCCGGCTACGGGGTGCGCTCCCTCGGGAGCAGCGGTGCCGCTCCAAGGGAGCAGCCCGCATGAGATAAAGTTGCCTGTCCAGCCCGGAGGGAGGTTGCGGCGTGGAAGAGAACGATTTCAGTATCCTGAGGATAGAAGCATGGAACGGTCGCCAATAATCACAAGGAGAGACAGAGTGTATTGAGCTGACCTGTGGTCTCTTCGTCTGTCTTTAAAAACAGACCCAAGACAGACACCTGCCTCAAGATTGACTATAGGGGAGACCTCTCCTGTGTCAGGGCTGACGCGCGACGATCTACCAGCGCACCATTTACCGGATTACAGCCGCTAAACAACAATCCTGCCGTGCCTGTAATCCAGTCCAGCGTCGTCACCAAAATCCGCCGCGCGCCTGGCGCCATCTGTGAGCCGGTCCGGCGCCGCTACGGATTATATTCTTCTGGTCCAGTGAGTTTGGTCTTATCCGGACAGCCTATGGGCGAGCTAGTGCTGATGAAGCGTGGCAGGAAAGAGGAATACTCAGAGAATTGCTCGCTTGCATGCTGTGCAGGCTGGGGTGTGATGAACGTAAGGAATGCCGTGAAATTGAGAGATCAGCTCAAGCAGAAAAAGAACAGTGAGATGAGCATTCACTTGGACGCTTCTGAGTTCTGAGCCTGCAGCTTGGTGAGAGGTGGTGTTACAAACGTACCGCTTTCTTTTGTTCTGAAGTGTAAGCATTGTATTCAGCGCGAGAGCTGGAAAAGCAAGGAGACCACGTAGTCGTCGGTATTTCGCATTAAAAGATGAAGCGAATCACCTGTGACAGACAAGGAACCAAACAAATATTGTTAGTGTAGCAAACATTACGGTAAATGGCGTATTTTCACCTAAGCTAGGTATGCTCCATCACATGGGCGTTCTGAACGTGAGCGTGTCCAAAAGAAAAGATATAGGGAAACTGATATCGCTTCACAAACAACGAAAAGGTTATACAAGAAGATTTCCAACCATGCACACATTAATCATACAAATTGTCATATATTACAAAACAACAAATGTTATAGTAGAATCCATCTTTCCTAAATAAGCAGTTAAGGTCATCTAATTCGACTGGTCTCCGCTACATCCATAACACTCGGACAGTAGGGTTTGGGCGGGCAGAACTAACGGGGCGGCATTTGTCTCCATTTCCGCCGCGTTTCTCTCGAGAGAGAGAAAAGGGTCGGAGGGAAGCGGCTCGGACTGCCCTGTCGCGACGCAGGCCACTGCGTGACAGAGACAAACGCGCGGCTATGTCATTGTCGACTAGCCTGGAAACCTGTAACAGCGGTGCATACATAAATGGAGAAAATAGGCGTATGGTTGAGGACAATATTACGCATGCTCGAGTGATCAAGCGCTCGCTCGAGCTTCTTTCCATCAGCATGAAGTGGAATTTGAGCCAGAGGGAACAGCTGTCCATATTGATTCCTAATGAGGAAAACATTCTTTTTTGTCCCATTGGCCATTGCAAAATGGAAATGGAAAGCATGGGCCTCGGACAGATTACAAGAGAAACAGATATCCAAAATGATAATGTAATGCATGCAACCAGATAACTAGAGGAAGAATTTACGAAACATGAAGAAGTGGAAATCATTCGTGGATAGTTTATTAAACCTTTGAGCTAAACATCAAACTCCAAGCCCAGTACACTTTGTACATACACTGGTTAATAATTCAATTACGCGTCTCTGCTTATCGACGTTATCTCTTGGCGTCGTTTCCGGCTGATCTACAGGCCATCCCTCCTTATCGGATCCCACCGTCCGGTCT